GCGCTTTTTTTTCGATACAACATGCAAATAGCGTTGGAGACGAGACATCACGCACACATTCACTTTCTGTCGTATTCGTATATATTCACGCTAAGTGAACGCGGTCGTGTATACATACATTGCATGACGTCATAACTCGGTCAGTGAACCGCACGGGTAGCTCTTACGTGTTTTAAAAAACATTCGGCGCGTTCATTTGCGCGCGCTCCTCCTCACCCCCCCCCCCCCCGCCGTTTCGTCACTCTTTTGTTTTCTCCTTCTTTAAGTGTCACTTCAGTACCTCGACGTCCACAAGCTGTGTACGTGTTTACGTGCATTTATATACAAAAAATACGTATGATTGCGTCTTCACCTCTTGGAGAGAAAGAACGAATGAGGGATACCGAGATAGAGAGTGAACGAACGAGTAAGGGGGAAGGGGTGGGAGGAGGGAGAAAGTGCTATTGTCCCAAAAGTGTCTCGTGTATATTTTCGCGAAATTACGATTTATAAATAATGTAAAAAGCCTAGTTTCACATGATGTTAATATATCGTAATTCGAATATTCCGAATAACAAGTTAACATATCAATTAGGATATGCAGAAACCTTGCCTAGAATAAACTATGTATTTCTTTATAACGTATTTTCAAATATTCATTGTATATTTTTCGTAAGTTCATATATGTTAGGCAATGAAATATTGACAAAAAGAAAATGGTTCTGGTAAATACGTGTAAAATAATAATAAAAAGAAATGATTAAAAATGTATATTTTGAATGAAAAAAAAATTATATTTTTATTCTAATTCTATTTGTCAATAGTATAAATAATACCTTAATATAGAAAAAATAAACACACACACACACACACAAATCTATTTAGAATTGTCTATGGTATGTGCGTTAAATATCTTTAGTAATAAGATTATTATAGGACACTACAGAAAAATTATTAAAATTTTAAAAAGAAACATTACCATTTATATATTTCTTAAGGCTTGAGGCAGTGATAAAGATGAGAATTTGAAAAATAGGTAAATCTTTTGTAAACAGATGCAGAGATAATTGGGCTTCGCGTTATTTTAGCGAGTCACTGAGAGTCAGCTGGATTCGTTTGCTGTCCATCTAACTTTATCGATGAGAGAAAGAAAAACGACGAGAGTAAAAAACCGGAACAAGAACACCCATGTCAATGTAAGAATGAGGGTCTCGAAGGGCCGAGTTATTATTCGCGGTCCCGCGATGCCTCGCTCCCTTCCTCTCACTCAAAAAGCATGGAACACGGTTGTCGAAAAAAAGAGCCGTTAGCAAGAGGGACAGAGTGCGGAACTCGCCGAGGAAGAGGCCGGCGCAGTTTTTTATTTCTCTCGTGCGCGGCCTTCCTGACGCCGGGATCGCGCTTTTGCGCGCGCAATCGTTCCACAACGCGTTGTGCCATTATAATATCCATACGCATGGGCGCGCGCACGCACACGGGTGTGTCAGCGTCATACGTGCGAGGAGGCTCGAGACACCACCGAATATAACGGGACGCATCTACTTCGACCTTCTTGAAATTCAAGGAATTCAAGGTCGGAGTGGCGCGCGTGCGCGCGCTTATGCTTCGAACGGTATAGCCGAAAACCAGTTCGGGGCTGCCGCGACGGCGAAAATATAATACCGAGCAGATGAAGGCAAAAAGGAAGCGGGAGGTAGACAAAAAACGAAGGAAAAATGTAACAGTGACCGTAATATCTGGCGTGCCGGCCGTACCGCCTTTCTCATTCGTCGCGGCCCCTCCGCTTATGCCATTTGTTGCGGCTTGGGGCATCACGAGCTTTTCGCCCGTTCCCGCGTTCACCTGTTCAACCAAGAAAACTGCCACGATTCACCTTACTTTATCCCAAAAATTCACTACTGTCCTTCCGGCAGGGTCACGCGGCGGATGGAACTCGATGTGGCCCTCTCTCGTCCTTTTCTTTCTTAATGGGTCATTCGATAATATGTAGGCTGCAGCCGCCTTTCTTATTTGGGACTTCTCAGCGCTTTATATTAGGGATGATTGGGGCACGAGGGTCTCGTCGACCTTGCTACGACGCAACAAAATTGTTCAGGCCACCGAACCACTAAAGCCATCTGCGACCTAAAAACTGCCCGGGAGTGCGATTTCTTTGTTCTTTCATCGCCCATTTTTCTACACAACATGCAAATCGAGGCCATTATCGGGAAGGCCATGAAGTCCATAGAGGAAATGCGGAACTACACGAAAGTATTTCAACAATAAAGCTACTTATAGAATTATCATAACAATATTTAATTACTATTATTTGACGTATTTTTTATCTTATTCCCTCTGCTCTATGCTTTGAAAATTTGAAAGCTGCTATGTAAGTTCCTTGAGTGGATTGTTTCATTCAACTTATGTTGTTGAATTCATTTCAGCAGCAAATTAATTACTTTCGAAAATTAATATCAAAAAAATTGAGAAAACAAAAAGAATGAAGGAATGAAAGAAACGATTTATAGTTTGCATTACATTACCGAAATATCGTTATATTAGATTCGCCAAGCTTAAAAAATCAATCTATGCTATAGAGTAGAAGTTGGAAATATCGTGAAAGAAAAGGAAGCAATAGGCTTGGGCCAATTCCGTCAAAATTGCTTATTCGAAAATAAAGGGGGAACGGTCGGGACGGATAAAACGGCACGACAAATGCAGTGCCGTGAAAAGCACGAGACTGGCTTTTAGCGACAAAGTCACCGTCGCCGTCATTACTATCATCAACATCGTATAAAACGTGCCTACTTGGCACATAGCTAGCAGTAATTGCGCAACTTACATCATTCATTAAATCACGGTTCTTAACTGTTAACAAATACACTGACTCGTCAAAGTGCGCGACATCTCGAGAGAAAATCGTGACTCGCGCGAGATTTCACCGGATGGAGCGCGCGTACGTTGTAATGTACGAGCGCGACGTAGGTCTGAGGATATATGTCCTGCTGGCGATTTCTATAGAGGTAAGTTTATCGAACTTCCTGGCCCATGGCTACGTACGAGCTTCGTTGCGTTTTCACACATCGAATATACCGCCGCGATGAGTCAACGACGTCACGTAATGGGTATAATAGGGTGGACTAATTGATGGACCAATTGATGACAACGTCATTAGTTGATGCAAGATACAAGTTTCAGCGAAATGGAAAATAAGTTGACACGAGTTCACCAAAACACATTTCAAATGGGCAAATTCAAATAACAGATGGTTGACAATTTTTTTCTTCAAATATTAACACGATATCTCAAAATGATAAGAATGGATCTTGAATTAATCCAACCCTTAACTTTATCAGAAACAAAGCTCTTATTTAAAATTAAAAAAGAACTAGCGCGCAGTATTAATGGATGCTATGTGAAAAACAATTTTTAATTTTAACGATATATGCACGTCTGTGTAAAGTGTCCTTTCGAAAAATTTATTATCTCTACATGGCTATTCCCATTCGAGCGAATGAATTATTCAATTATATAATTGTTATTGTAATTAGAATTAAATAAACTTCAACAGGGAGAAATACTTATGAGCGAAGGATGATTTTAAATAAAATAAATTTATTCACTAAAACTTTATATCTTCTTATACGAAATGAAATTATGTATGCCTACTTGTAGCAGTAAGTTGACTTTTACACGTAACTGCATTATATCAGATGACACAATTTGCAAGAATGGGTTTCAGTTAGAATTCCTTGTTGTTAAATGTATATGAACGACTGTTTACCAGTATCTAATACACACACTTTAAATTCCTTTGCAATAAATCGTTCTTGAAAATCTAACTCCATTATCAGTACATCACATAATAGAAATGAAAACTATCGCGATTTTTTTTCATGCTTACTAGGGTAGTGTGATGCACTCGGGTTACGATGAAGGAGATTCTTTGTCTGCGCTCCTATGAAAGTATCGTATGTCCATGTCTTATCTTCCGCAATCGCCTTCTTCAGCGACGATTCTCAGAAAATACAAGCACGCTAGGAAGAATCTATAAATGTGACGCTCT